CAGTTTTCTTGTTTTGCAGGTGATGAAACAGAGACTCAGGGAGGTGAAACAAAATGCTGAATTCTACGTAAGGAGTACTAAGAGACAGAATTGGAATTCAAGCTTAGTTTTGCCTGACTCCAAAACCCATGTTCTTGAACTGCTTAGCCTCCAAAGTGGATTCTAAAGCTACTGCCAAGAATGAGAAAATGGACTTCTATACTAGTGGCTTCAGAAAGAAGACCTACAAATAGAGTTCCGGTTTGAAGGATGATTCTGAAATAGGAAAGGTTCTCTTGTCGCTCTCGCTTCTTCAGTGCCCCGCTGCTCAGACCTCTAGGGGAGCATACAGACCGGCAGGCTGTGGAGCTCCCACCCCAAGGCAGTGTCTAGGGCTGGATGTTTACAGCTGAAGCCCCAGTGGGAGTGTGTTACAAAGTAGTCTTCTGGTTTATCCATCTCTAGACAGCTTGTGTTAACCAGCTCAATTAGACCCTCTTCCTTGTTGCAAGGAAAGAGTGCTTTCTGTATCCCGGGTGCTTGCCCTGGTGTATCAGAAGAATCGGATCACACCTGGACTTGGAGAATGACTGCAAGGTTTTTTGGAGTGGAAGCAGCTCTCAGCAGATGGGGGAGCCAGAGGGAGATGGTTTTCTCCTGGAGTCGTGCCGCTGAGCGACCTGGGCTCTCCTCCGACTGCCTGGGCCAAACTCTACAATGTTCTGCCAGTTGACGGCCTGCAGGCATGCTGGGTGCCTATCTGTGCCCCTAACGCCCTCTCCAAGTCCAGCCACTTGCGTGTTCCTCCGCCAAAGTGTTTCTCTTGACACGCAGCTGCTTGCGTCTTCTTTCCGCTGATCAGCTCCTCTGAATGTCCAGTCGCTTGTGCGTGTGCCCGCTGGGATCTCGGGATTTTAATAGGCACGGCATGGGGGTGTGGCGGGCCAGGGTGGTCTTGGGAATTGCAACATTTGGGCGTGAAGGCAAGAGTGCCTGTCCTCACCCAGGTCCGTGGGCACAGGCCTGGGTGGAGCCCTCACCAGGGACGCGTCTTTCTCTACCCAGCACTTCCCTGCCCCCTCCCGTATCAATTCCTTACTCAGAAAAGTGTGTTTTCAGACTTCTTACTTTTGGATTTCTGGTCCCAATCAGCCAATATCAGTTTGTTATAGAATCTAAAGAGATGTCATAATCTCCCTATTTTAAGACACGGTTTTAGCTGTAATTATGCTGAACTCTCTCCTAAGACAAGCAGCAGCTTTTTATTGCCTGTTATCTAGTGTGTTGCTTCCACAAATCCACACCTTCTGGGCCTGTCACTGGCAGCCAGGTCCTGGGAGTTCTCAGTCCGTTGCTTTGCTGACGGTTCTTCAGAGGTGATGAGCTGTGTATGAAGGTCCCTGCAGACCATGGTCCCACCAGGGCTACACGCCAGGCAGATGTGCAGAGATAAGAAACTTCTCAAGGATTGCCTGTTCTATTCAAAGAAGTAAGGTCTAAAAATGAAAACCCATTTTAAGCACTTTTGTGGTTGTCCTTTTTGGAACATGGAAAGAGGACAAACCTACACAGTTTTGTGTTGCTTTGTGGTTTTCATTTGTTTGTTTTGAGAGGAAGTCTTGCTCTGTCACAATGGCGTGAGCTTGGCTCACTGCAACCTCCACCTCCGGGATCAAACAATTCTCCTGTCTCAGCCTCCCAAGTAGCTAGAACTACAGGTGTATGCCACCATGCCTGGCTAATATTTGCATTTTTAGTAAAGTTGGGGTTTCACCATATTGGTCAGGCTGGTCTCGAACTCCTGACCTCAGGCGATCCACCTGGCTCAATCTCTCAAAGTGTTGGGATTACAGGCATGAACCTTTGCCCCCAGCCTGCTTTGTGTTTTTGATTTACCAGGCTATATTGCTTTCTCTGGTACTATTTCATGAATTCAAGCTTGTTAGTTAATTGCACACTGAACTGAGGAGAGAATGTTTAAGTCAAATGTCAGGCGATCTGACAGAAATGGAGAGAGCAATATTCTTATCCCCTTTGCTCCAATAATTGTAAGATCCTATTTCTTGTACTAAAAAAAAAAAATCTAGATACATGATGGAAGCATTATTTTGAAGTTTTAAAACTTCAGTACAGAAGCATCTTTATATTTCTCTTGGGTTCTGCTAGCATCTTGCAGTAGAAATCAGCCAAGATTTCTCCTGCTCTCTCTAGGGGTAGAAAGACCTTGCAAGCATCAGGAATTTGCATGGCTGAGTCCCTGGGAGGGTAGAGATAGAACAATTGCCTCTCAAGGACTCATTAGACTGTCTTCCTCGTCTGAGCAACCAAACCCACACTTGCAAGGAAGGATTTGTAGTTAGACTTTTCAGTCTAACAGTCTAACATTCTGCAGATTGTGCAGCAAAGAACTCACCCTGACATGTAGAGGCAAATGAATGTGTCCTAACCTTTCGGGCAGGGCAGGCCCCAGAGGGAAGGCGATGACCCCAGCCATTATTATTATAAATAGTTAGCCTCTGTTCTCCAAACAGAGGCATGTGTGGCTATCTCAAGTTGCATGTTAACAGAGTTCTAGAGAAAGCAAAGTTTCCATTGCCTTTCTGATAAACACATTCTTGGAAAGGACAGCCTGCTACCTAATGAGGGACCCTAGGGAAGATATTTTGAGCGAGTCTAAGACCGCCTGTCTGTACTCTTTGTGCTCACAGTGTGAAGTACTCTCTAGTTTAATTCTCAGGGGTGGTGAATCAGGATCCAACTGGCAGTTATGATCAATATCTGTCAATCATCTAACTTTGAGCCGGATGGGCAGCTGGATACCAGGATGTAGGACTTTCGATGGCCTTTTCTCGGGCATGACATTCCCTACACCCATTGTGGCTACAGGGTTGTGAGGAGAAGGGGTGAGGAGATCCCCCCCAAAGCCCCCAGCCCTTGATTGATGCCCTGCTGCCTTTCACTTGCCCTTTTGTCTGGATGATCCTGTCTTTTGACACCCAGCACATGCATGCTGCGACCTTTTACTGGAGTGAGGAAATCCTGAGATAGGTGATGTAATGAGCAAAATACATGGCCTAGGTTGCATGTTATCATACACACGTGTGTGTGTATGTGCATGTGTGTGCTTGTATTTGGTCTCAAAGGCACGGTTTATCGTCATTGTCTGCACAGTCCTCTTGGGGATAGTGTTCTTTCTTTGCCACACTTCCATCCTTGAAGCCACAAAGATCTTTAGATACATAGGGACCTTTTCCTACTAGGCTTCAGATCCACCCTTCAATTTCAGGAATAAATGAATCTCCTGGAACTAGTTTGCTTCTTTGTTCCTCTGGTATTTCCTGGAATAAGTCCCTAAATAATTTCTGAACTGCCCTTACCATTATTATGAGTAACTCATTCCCTGCCTGGCCCAAGAGCTGTCTGATGGGAGTGGCCTTACAACTCTGCAGTCCCTGTCTTCCTGGCCTCCACTGCCTTCTTTCTCCCTCTACTCCCTTCCCACCTATTTCCCTTTTCATGCCATTCAGTCAAACTCTATACAATTGCCTTGTCTTAAGGTCAACATGCGAACTTCAAGGGGTTCAACCTAATCACTTTGTCAGCTGGTTGCATTATCTCTGGAGTCTCTTTCTAATCTCCCATTTTAGATATCACATGCATGAGCTCCCCACCCCCACCCAAGTGCTCTTCCTGAGGAACAATGTTTCTAAAAAAAATTTTTTTTTTTGAGATGGAGTTTCTTTCCTGATGCACAGGCTGGAGTGTAATGGCGCAGTCCCAGCTCTCTGCAACCTCCGCCTCCCAGGCTCAAGTGATTCTTCTGCCTCAGCCTCCCAAGTAGCTGGGATTACAGGTTCCCGCCACCATGCCCAGATAATTTTTTGTATTTTAGTAGAGGCAGGGTTTCACCATGTTGGCCAGGTTGACCTCAAACTCCTCACTTCAGGTGATTCTCTTGCCTCGGCCTCCCAAAGTGCTGGGATTACAGACATGAGCCACTTTGCCTGCTTGTTTCTAAGAATTTATCTCAAATAAACATCAGAACAATTTTTTGAATCTCAATGGCTTAATTCTGGTTCACAGCTGCCTACCCCCTTCCCAGTCAAGTGATGAACATTCTCAAATCCAAACAGGGTATTTTCATGCCCCACTGTGAGCTCAGAAGCACAACACTATTCCTAAATTTAGAGGTTTAGATACATAAGAAAGGGAAAAAAAAACAGACATGTTGTTATTAAAGCAAAATCAGCAATCAGGCTGTCAAATATCAATGTCATTTCTTATTATGAGCATGTTTTAGTATAAAGTAGTTTTTGCATAGAAAAACATGGGGGGTTTTGCAAAGAAAATAGATGAAATAAGTATCACATGAGGAACCCACCAAAAATAACTGGCTTAAGCAGGTTTACTGAGGATCTCAAAAGAGCATCTGAAAGGCAGTGTCCTTCACTCTTGACCCAGCGCAGGAAGGTAGGGACGAAGGGATAGTCTTATCAGGTCAACCTGGCTAACAGGACAGCACTGAGAATAGCTACTGGCTCCCATCCCGAGGAGGTACTTCTCTTGTCAAGTCTGTACTCTTGAGAGTTCTGAAATGGGAACAGAAGGCACAGCCTTCTCTAAATTGTCCAAAGAAGATTATTTGGAGGGGAGAAAGTGGTCTGGACTTGTGAGGTGTCCGACTTTGCCACACACTGACTGAGTGGCCTGGAATGTGTCCATTCACCTCTCAGTTTCTTTATCTGAAATGTGGGTGATGAATACAGTCGTCACAGGGCTGTTATATTCAGATGAGACCACCTGGGAAGGATTCAGTCTAGTGCCTGACACATAGGTCCTTAAAGACTTGTTGAATGAAAATGCAGTCATAATAACACGTGTCCCCACTCCTTGAAACAGCTAAAACACTGGGAAATTTTGAGTCCACTTTGCTTGGAAATAGAGACATTTAATAGTATAAGAGATCCCATGATGCAAAATGTCATCTTTATACTCCTAAAGTTGTAGAGAATTAGGAACATCTGTGAAGAATCTGAGAGCTCAGAATGAAAAGGAGAAGAAAAGGAAAAGACAAGAATGGAAACTACCCATGAGAAAACCAAGTGGAATTAAAATCCCCAAACTAATGTCTCGTAGAGATCACAGAAGACAGAAGAGACATCACCTCCTGGCTTCCTGCATTCACCTTCACCTAGGTAAGTATAATCCTAGACTATACCACCTAGATTTAAAAATCCCTAGAAAGTCTAATTTTGACTGAGGATACACCAAAAAAATGTCATGTCTTTAAGTTGCCTACATCACATCTGGCTTTCTTCTGTACTCCCACTTGCAGTTAGTGAGACCCAATTACTTCAGCATGAAAGTGGGTGAAAAACCTTAGTTTGATCCAATATCTGAATTAGTTCATGTAGGAAGTGTTCAATCTCTCCTTCTAAAGGTTATACTCTTTCCAGTATCTTCTCTCTTCCTCTTCTGCTTCTCTATAGGGAGGAGCAGTTGCTTCTGTGGCAACCTCATGGCATTGGGGAAGCCAAGTTGTTGGAATCCCTGGGTGCTCTTGCTCTGCCCTCTGGTTGCTGGGGACATCTCTTGTGCATTTGACTGCTGCGTGTCCTATAGGTGTTCATCGTTGTTTTGTCCACAGTCATGCACCTTGTGATCTGCTTCTTAAGTAGGGCCTTGGATGACACTTACTTCAGCTGTTGTTGGGGACTTTTGGATTTGAGGTGCAATATAGCAGTGAGTTCCTCAGTTTTGGTCTCACAGATCCCAAAGTAGCTTTTGGAGAAGTTGGTGACCCAGAAATACTGATGGGAGAAGATAATGCACCGAGGAAGCCCTGCTCTTTTGAGCCAAAGAACTGAGAAGGGGGCAGCCTAGCAAAGCAGAAGGATGAGAAAAGATGTTGAATGCAAACATCAGCTTAAATGAAGCAGGAGTCCCTGAGTAGGGTTAGATAACGTATATTTCAGAGCAAAACAAATTTATGAGGGATGGGAGATAAAACGTTTCCTACTACTAGGAAAGCAAAGTAGTCCTCACTGTGTATGCACCAAATAATAGTACTGTAAAATATGTAAAGCAAAAATGATAGAACTCAAAGGAGAAACAGACAAATCCATAACTGTACTTGGAGACTTCAACATTTCTCTTTCCAAAACTGAAAGAAAATCTAGACAGAAAGCCAGCACAGGTATAGAAAAACAAAACACTGCTATCAAATAGGATTCTATTTAGTACTTATAAAACACTGCACTCTACAATAGCAGTATCTATCTTTTAAATCACCTACAGAAGACATATCAAGATAGACCACATCCTGGACCTGAAAATGAACCGGAATACTTTAAAAATAATTGAAACCAGGCTTTGCATGGTGGCCCATGCCTGTAATCCCAGCATTTTGGGAGGCTGATGTGTGTGGATCACTTGAGCCCAAAAGTTCAAGACCAGCCTGGCCAATATAGGGAAACCCCATCTTTACTAAAAATACAAAAAATTAACTGGGTATGGTGGCACATGCCTGTAATCCCAGCGACTGAGAAGACTGAGAATCACTTGAACCCAGGAGGCAAAGGCTGCAGTTAGCTGAGATTGTGCCACTGTACTCCAGCTTGGGTGACAAAAGGAGACTCTGTCTCAAAAAATCAAATCAAATCAAATAATTGAAATCATACAGAGTATGTTCTCTGACCACAATGGAATCAAGCTAGAAACCACATACATAACATTAACAGGAAAATCCTCAAAGGCTTGGAAAGAAAACATTGCACTCCTAAATAATTTATAGGTCCAAGAGTAAATCTTGAGGGGAAATAAAAAATTCATTGAACTGAATCAACATACCAAAATTTGTGGGACACAGCTAGGTCCATGCTGAGAGGAAATTTTATAGCACTAAATGCATACATTAAAAAGAGGAAAAGTATCAAATCAGTCATTTAAGTTCTCATTTCGACAAAGTAAAAAAAGAAGAGCCAAGTAAATCCAAAGCAATAGAAGGAAGGAAATTTTATAAGATAAGGGCAGAAATCAAAGAAGTTGAAAACAGAAACCAGAGAGAAAATCAAGGAAACAAATATCTGGTTCTTTGAAAAGATCAGTGAAATGGATGAACTTCTAGCAAGACTGACAAAGAAAAAGAGAGGAAAGACATTGATGATCAAGATCAGAGATGAAATGGGATATTACTACAGGCCCTGCAGAAAGCACAAGCACGAGGGAAACAGCAACTACAAACAACTCTACATATACATTTAACAATTTAGGAGAAATTGATCAGTTCCTCAAGACACTCAATCTACTGTATGTAACTCACCCAGTATGAAATAGATGATTTGAATAGCTGTATAACTACTAAGAAAATAAACTTTTATCCGGGCACTATGGCTCACACCTGTAATCCCAGTACTTTGGGAGGCTGAGGCAGTTGGATCACTTGAGGTCAGGAGTTTTAGACCAGCCTGGCCAACATGGTGAAACCTCATCTCTAATAAAAATACAAAAGTCAGCTGGTCGTGGTGGCGGGCACCTGTAATCCTAGCTACTTGGGAGGCTGAGGCAGGAGAATTGCTTGAATCCAGGAGGTGGAATTTGCAGTGAGCCAAGATTGCACCACTGCACTCCAGCCTGGGCAATAGAAAAAAAAAAAAAAGAAAAGAAAATATACTTTCAAATTTAAGACCCACACCCCTCACTACCCAAAATCTGTAGGCCCAAATGATTTCACTGAGGAATTATACCAATTTTTTAAAAAGAACTCTGTACTATCTCTTCTAGAAAATAAAAGAGGTTGAAACATCTTTCTATTCATTTGATGAAGCTAGCCCTACACTGATACCAAAACCAGATGTAGACATTGTTCTTACTGGAGAAAGACATTGTTTTCTCCCTAAGATCAGGAACAAGGCAAGAATGTCCTCTTTCACTGCTGGTATGCTACATAGTACTGGAAGTTTTTACCAGTGCAATATGGCAAGAAATGGAAATTAAAAACATGTACATCAAAAAAGAAGAAATAAAATTATTCTCACTTGTGGATGATATGATTATCTTTGTAGAATATCCTAAGGAACCTACCAAAAACAAACAAACAAACAAAAAAACTCTCTAAGACTGATACATGAGTTTTTAACAAGGTTTCAATTTATAATACCAGCATACATAAATTAATTGTATTTCAATATACTAGCATTGAACATGTGGAAATCAAAATAAAACATAATGACAATACCAAATCCTGGTAATGTTACAGAGAAAATGGATCTCTTAAACACTTGTGATCTAATATAAAATGGTAGAGTCACTCTGGAAGCTCCTTCAGCCCAGGCCCTGGCATTGTATTTAACTTGAACTATAAGTGTGGCAAGTTCTTTGTGATTATTTTGTATGTTTTAGGAATAAACGAAAGGTTAGTGCCTAAATGCCTAGATATGGAAGAAAAAATGATTAGATAGTTCCATCATTTTCTGTTGGTGGGAACCTAAAATCAGTCACGCAGTAGTTTATCAAATATGCTTTGAACTTCTGTGTTTCAAGCACTATTCTAGGTGCTGAAATTAAGTGGTGAACAAACGTACGCTAAGGCTTTCAACAAAGATGAAAGGTACAAAAGAAACAAACATTTGGGCCAGTTGATCTCAGTCTTGGAATGAGCATTAATGCTTAATTCTGAGTACCCTACTCCGTTTGCATTATCATCACAACCCTAAGCGTCCCAGGGGCCCGAGGACAGGGGGCGGTGCCTGCAGGGGAGAGGTTTGTTAGCAACCTGCTGCTACTCTGAGCGTTATTTATTATTCATCTCTTTCTCTCTAATTATTTGATCTGGAGATGAGCTCTCTCCCCAAGAACCCTTGATCTCATCAGTCAGTTGGCATTACAAAGGCAAAAAGGCATGACTCTTGAAACCACCAAAGAACCACAGGCCTTAGTTATTTGCTGGTGAGATAAAGAAGCCAACTTTTTAGGCTGAGGGCAGAAAACCTGCTGAGCTCTCACCCCGGGAAGGGAGCCTTTGGGAATGTGGTAGTAGTGCATGGCTGTCAGGAGCCAGGGATGTATGAATTTTTTGCTTTTTAAAATATGTTTTACTGTGACACAGTTCTTCCATTAGTGAACAGTCTTGGCATCTCGGCATACACATACCCATTACCCGTGTGTTTCCAGTGATTGAGATATTTTATTTCCTTGTGAAACGGCTTTCTTCAGTTTGCTCTGGGCATTTTGGCATTGCAAAACACTGTTTGGATGTTTATGCATCTCAAATCATAAGGACCAGGGAAGAGGAAGGAAATATGTAATAGTATCAAGTGGACCTTAAAGGAAATGTCAAAATTTTTCTACTCAAAAGCCTTGTGTCTTTGCCGGTGAAAGTTGGTGTTATCTTCTTCACTGTGTAGGCTCAGAGAAGTTAGGCAACTTGTGCAAGCTTTCATAGTAGAGAGCAGAAGCAGGATTCAAACCTGCCTGTAAGAGAGGGAGCTATGGTTCCATACTACAGGGGTATGTCACACGCCATCCTAAATGAGTCTGTGTGAGATCTTCGCTCTCTGAAGTCTTCTGTCTTTAGAAGCCTCCAGTACCATGGCGGCAACAATAAGCCTTGTCAGCATCAGCCCCAGAGGCTGGCAGCTCTAGACACTGCCACTCCCATTGTGGTCATCCACTGACATCATTGTCATACAAACAACAGAGCAAATTTCGGTGCATACCAGCATGACCAACTGATTTCCAGAGAAGAGAAAACCAGGGCCTTGGAGGGCTTTGCCCATAAATAGTCATTAGAGAATTCAGTCCTGTCCAGAAGCAAAGCATAGCTACTAGGACAAGAGTTTTCAAACCTTTTGGTTTTAAACCAAATAATTTTTAAAATCATTAAGACTCCTTGATGATTTTAAAAATTATTGAGGACCCAAACAGCTTAAATGTCTATGCCTTACACTACTGATATTTAATATATTTGCAATTTAAATTGAGATATTAAAAAATAATTAGTCCATTTAACATAACAATAAACCCATTATATGTTTACATTACATAATACATATTTTATAAAAATTAAATCTTTTTCAAAACAAAAATATTTAGTAAAAAGAATGGCATTGGCCGGGCGCGGTGGCTCACTCCTGTAATCCCAGTACTTTGGGAGGCCGAGGCGGGTGGATCACGAGGTCAAGAGATCGAGACCATCCTGGTCAACACGGTGAAACCCCGTCTCTACTAAAAATACAAAAAATCAGCTGGGCATGGTGGTGCATGCCTGTAATCCCAGCTACTCAGGAGGCTGAGGCAGGAGACTTGCCTGAACCCAGGACGCGGAGGTTGCGGTGAGCCGAGATTGCGCCATTGCACTCCAGCCTGGGTAACAAGAGTGAAACTCTGTCTCAAAAAAAAAAAAAAAAAAAAGAATGGCATTGTCCTACATTTCTTGTAATGTATAACTTAATGAATGACAACTGATATGGTTTGACTGTGTCCTCACCCAAACCTCATCTTAAATTGTAGTTTCCAGAATCTCTATGTGTCATGGGAGGGACCAGGTAGAGATCATCAAATCATGGGGTTGGTTCCCCCATACTGCTCTGGTGATTGTGAGTTAGTGCTCACGAGATCTGATGGTCTTATAAGGGGTTTCCCCCTTCCCTGGGCACTCATTCTTCCCCTTCCTGACGCCATGAGAAGGACATGTTTGCTTCCCCCTCCACCATGATTGTAAGTTTCCTGAGGCCTCCCAAGCCCTGCAGAACTGTGAGTCAATTAAACCTCTTTTCTTTATAAATTACCCAGTCTCTGATATGTTTTCTTAGCAGTGTGAGAACAGACTAGTACAACAAGTAAACTCTTATAGCTACTTCTCTATTTAGTCTCATGGTATGTTG